TTCTAGCGGAAACGACATATCTCTCACGCTAATAACATTGGACTTAAGTGACATGAGCCTTAAAAGCTCTGCAACATTAAAAGTTCGGGGTTCCATAATTTTTTGCACATCTACATCTACTACAGATGACATACATGTAAAGATCATCCTTATCGGTCCGGCAGTACGTCAGAAATAGTGCTTCCAAGATTTTGCTTGTAGCTGTATAATATAGATTTTCGTTTGAATAAAGAACACGTTACAGAGGTGCATTTTAACGACAATTTTCAGCCCTAAATTCAACTTATTATACGTTTAGGAATGTAATAACAAGAAAGACACAGAGCAATTCTTGGACATGTATAGAAAATCATTAAGGCTATTCTTTTGTAAAAATAATATATGTAAAAATAAATTTGGCAATAACTAATATTCTTGGTTCTTGACTAAGAAACCCTTTAGCGAAACGATGCTTCTATGGATGTATGAGTACCCTCATAACGTCGCTCCTCTGGCGTAAGGGCGTATCTCGATTTTTGGACATTTTGAGTTAGGCATGTATTCTTATGTAGTTTGAGCTGCTCTTTCGATCTAGCCTACTCTCAGGTCCGAATTCCCAATAGTTAATGACTTATGGCCATAAAACTGAAGGGCGTAACTCGCCATTGCCGAAAAAAGGACGCGACGTAAGGGCGTATCTCTGCAGACGCGGCGCTGCACCCCTACGACGAGCCGCTTCTCGGCATTGAGTATCTCATATGCCCGTCGTACAACGTGTCCGGTGACGGCGGGTTTTCAATTATATCTTACGGAAACTTTTTGACTTGATATCATTACTATAACTTACATTTCTGTAAAAGTATCAAATCACAGATCTCAAGCATGGAGTTCGCAATGCTGATTCAATTTATGCTAAGCTAGAACGTTCAAATTGAATTCGCATATGCCGTTTACAGGCGAACGTCTGTTTCAGTGTGATACTTGCTCTCTCAAAATAATAATATTTTCACAAATTAATGCAAGTGGCAATCCTGCATATTACTGGTCATCTCCGCCTTTGTACGGACGGGTTTTCCCAGGCCGCCACTCAGGTGCTCGCTGCATCCTTTCAATCGTCGCAGAGGTAAGGCAGGGTCAAAGAAATAACCCTTAAGCACCCCAGCCTCTGTAGCTTTTAGAATGTGGTTCTCTGCCTCATTACACCCATCAACGCACAAGTGGGAGAAACAGGTGGAAGGAAAGCCTACACTGACCATTCAAATATGATTTCCTCGGAACAGCTCAATGCACGGCCGGAGAGTCGGTAGCCAAACCGTCGTCGGCCGTGGGAAGAGAAAGTTGGGTCTATCTTTTGATTTCAAATATTTGACACCCTGTTCGTTCATCTGGAAAATGACCAACAATATTGTGATCTCGGAAGACAAACTGGAGACGGGTCCTTTGTCGAAAAATTCTTGCCCCGTGCCAGCCGGTGGCAGCCAAGCTCTCGCCACCTCTCTTTTCAGTCTTTTATTGCAAAAATTCGTGGTAATTGGGTAACCTAAAAACCTCAAGTAGACAGAATTTTCTAAAGGAGGATGAGAGGAGGGGCATACCTACTCAAACTCGTAAGTCGTCACTGACTCTTAGGGTCAGTCTTAAACTCTTCGCGACTTTGAAACGGCCTCCGGATTACGGGTGATGAACTTGTGAATAATTTGACCGTCGACATGGATGTACTTGTGGAATGGACCAACGGGACTAAAAACGTTGTAAGTTCGGCTGAATTGGAGGCGATTCCTCCGGCGAAAACTCTAAGCTTAAAAACCGGCTCTCGCGTTCGGATGAACTATAAAGGAAAGTATTATCCTGGTACTGTTGTTGCTACCGAAGATGATGAGGAATCTCTAAATTATTTGAGTCCGTATCATCAAAACTCTTCGGACTCCGATGATGATTTACCACTCGCGAATTATGCCGTTTTTGATAAGAAAAATAAATCGTGCCACAATTCCGAATCTCCGAGCCGCGAAAATATTTTAGAGAAAAGTTGTTTGTCGGAAAAATCTCCAAGTAGTGTGCAAGATGAAATCGCGAATCGTCCTGATAGCAGCGAGCCAATACCGTGTGTTGTGTGTGGCAGGGAAATATTCGCCGCTTGTGTTAATTGTTCTGCAGTAGTGTGTTACGATCATTTTTTCGAGGAAAATGTTGATTCAAACGCAGAGAGGTGGTTTTATGAGAAAGAAAAAAATAACAGTTATTAATAAAAAAATAAGGCAATTAATACAATGGGTAAACGCATTTTTTTTTTCTTTTTTTTTTTTAATCAACTCTTCTGAATACATGATAGTCAAAATTGTATTAGGGGTTCGTTGGCAAATAGGTTTTTAAAATTCGAAAACGAGTTGAAACTAATATCAAGCGTTAGCCGTGAGCTCTGCGGCATCAAGACAGGGGCGTAACTAGTTGCTGCGCGCGGAAACGGGTTTGACGTAAGGGCGTATCTTGGCATATTTCTTTAAACTCGTCTTAAACCTCTTTAAAAATCAATAATGATATAAAAATTTGACATATCACGAATCCTGACCTTTTTTCCTATAAACCGATGAAAAAATGATCACCGTAGGTTGAATAGCTAAACGATGGCACGCAAAAGAAGATAGCGAAAATCTTATTTTCGCTCTCCTGAAAAGTAGCGAAAAACGAGATACGCCCTTACGTCAGAGGAGCGACGATAAGGGCAAAGAAATATGTTTTGTCATGGGAACGGAGTTCCCCATGATATTAGAATCGTTCCGTTGCTTTCGCTATGGAATTCCCTATACCTCTGCGACCTTGAGCGTTTCGCCCAGTCTCCGATTTTTGGTTGATTTTCCGATGTATCAAAAACCGTTGTATTTTTTAGCCAATCATGTCTCTACGTCAAGTTGTGTTGATTGCTAAAATTCGCTTTCAGCGAGTTTTTTGCCACCTGGAGATGTCGTGTCTGACTGGTAAATCTGCGCAGAACCACGAAGTTCCGTTTTTAGGCAAATTCTTTTTTTTGGGAGGTTCTGATTGGTTATTTTTCGCCATCAGTTTTCTGTTCGTTGGTGCAAAAGATCGCCTACCTCGTTGCTCTTGAGAAGCCGCCATTATCCCACCTCAAATTTTAAACATAGATATAAAGAAATAATAACCATCGTACAAGGTGGAAAATTGCTCTGGAGGACCCGTTACGGATATATGAGCCAAAATCAGAACTCGATTGATGGATTTAATCCATGAATACAGAAATATTGCCTCAGCTTACTGCCGCGATCGCAAATCCATGGTGAGATGAACCTCGTGACACATGACAGCATAGGTAAACAATGTCTCACAGAGTAATGCGGTTGATCCGTTGTGTCTTATCACGCCAGTGGCCGAACCGTTGAAATCTCAAGGACGTCTTTTGTGAAGCCCCGCTCAGCGTCCGAGATCACTTAAGTGTTCTCTTTTTCTCAATGCATATCTGAACAGCGAAATAGCTCAACTGGCTGCGTTACCGTTTTGCCTCTGGGAGAGTGACACTTTTTGTGCGAGCGGGGGTTCGAATCTCGCAGGGGACAGTTAATTTTTACTGGTTGTATTGAATGTTTTAGACCAATCATCTAACAATAATTAATACTTGGCAGATTAGGAAGCACATAGGTCCCTTATGATGCGTATTCGAGCATATGTGTAGAGTGGAAATATCATACGTAGGGTGTCCCAAAAGTACCGGGACTGGTTCTGTAACTTCAAAATTAAGATAGATACAGACATGATTTTGGTCTCATTTTAAAGATCAACTCAATACCTATCGATTAAAACCAAGATCAGCTCAATCGAATAAAAATTGACCGAGTTATGACAATTTGAAATTAGTGAGGAAAGTTTACCCCTACGGTTTTTAGGAAGATTTTTCGCTTACCAGGATTTAAAAAGTTAATATTCGTATCCACTTTCCTCCGAATCTTCCATAACTTCCTTTTGCTTTTCAAAGTACCGTCCATCAAACCGGATGCACTTTTTCATGCGCTCTTGCCACTTATCCAACATTGTTTTCCTGAATTATTCCTCTGGGATGGAGTTGAAGAAGTTTTGAATTGCATTCTGGATTTCGGTCTTCGATACGAATCTTCGTCCGCGAAGCTCCTTTTTAAGCGTGGGAAACATCCAAAAATCACATGGAGCCAAGTCAGCGCTATAAGGGGGATGAGGGATTGTTTCAACTCCATTTTTACTCATAAATTCACGTGTTAAGCTCGATGTGTGAGGCTGCGCATTGTTTTGATGGAGTATCCACGGAGCTTTCAAGTCCGACGGTTTCCGGGAAATGTGCATTCTCAACTCCTTTACTACTTTGCAATAATACGCACTGTCAACTGTTGTGTTTGATGGTACAAAATGTTGATAAATGACACCTCGAAAATAAAAAAACACAAAACGCAATAGTGTATTTCCTTCGGAAAATACACTAATAAGCATCACTTTATCGGCCGACTTTTCGATTTACGGCGATGAAGAATCTTCCTTAAAAATCGTAGGCGTAAACTTTCCTCGCTGATTTCAAATTGCCATAACTCGGTCAATTTTTATCCGATTGAGCTGATCTTGGTTTTAATCGATAGGTATTGAGTTGATCTTTAAAATGAAATCAAGATCATGTCTGTATCTATCTTACTTTCGAAGTTACAGAACAAGTCCCGGTGCTTTTGGGACACCTTACGTATACTTTACGCCGAAAAAGCGAACCTGAAACTTAAATGCGTTAACTTCCGAAAACCATATATAATTCAACGAAAATAAATAATTGGTACATAACAGCTTTCTTGTATGCAAAGAAAATAATTAAAAATGTTAAAAAAGAGATGTCAACACAAAATTACATAGCCCCTTCAATTCAGAAGATACTACAAACGAACTGTACCTTAACATTTTCATATCCCAGAAGCTAACGTTCCCATGACGAATATTGCTATCGCTAGCGATTGCAAAATCCAACTTGTAATGTACTCCAATGTGTGTGAAAACAGGTAAAAAAGCGAACTGCTCAAAGGTTGAGTTCGAGTGCGGAAACGGCCTGTGTGTGCCACACCTATGGCTTTGCGACGGCGTCAACGATTGCCGAGATTTCTCCGACGAATTTAACTGCACAAAAACACGGTAAGTACGAACGACTTGAGCATAAAAGCAAAAATGTGCGAAGATGGAAAAAGAGGATAAACAAAAGATAAAGTGGCGAGAACCAGTTGCGAGGCGTGAATAATCGATTATCAATATTTCCCCATTTGAAGCTATGGTAAAGAATAGTGGTAAAGAATGGTATCGATAAGTGTTCGTTGCAAACACTTTGTTTATCGATCTTTTTTCCATAGAGTTAAATGGTGGATCAATGGATATATTGCAATCAAAGCACGCAATGCCACTGGCGAGAAGTTCTTTTAGACGCCAAAGCTCACAAGAGGTTGTAGTGTGATTGAACAAATGAGTTTCGAGATAAAGGAGAGCTTTGATATATAGTGTTCCTACAGAAATATGTTGGTGATTATTTTCCCGGGAAATCAAATCATAAACCAATCGAGGAAATGAAAGGAAGAAGTAGGAGTGGTGAGGAGAGACAATAACTTTGATATTGCTAAATTGCTTGATAGAGGTGTTTCTATCCGCAATGTCTTATTAGCACCAGATAAATCCAGCGACGATGTAATGGATCGTATTCGATGTAGGTCAATTACGTGAAATATTTTGCGCCAATCCAACAGAATACAGTTAAAGGAACGAAGAAATATCAAACAAAATTGCAAGCACCAAGGATGATGAGGCTTTCGTTGAAAAATTGAAATATTACAGGAAATTTGCAATGTTAAAATATTTGTATTTGTTTTGGTACTTTCTCCATCGTGGATTTTCTGTACACTCGGTGTTTCCAAACAGTGATTTTTATGAAAAATGTACTTGATAACGAAAACAAACAAGAACGTCACACACCGGCTAGCTTCATTTCTTATCGTTCTGAAAAAAGTTTTGCGGTTTTCAGAGAGTGCAGACCGACCGAATTTCGTTGCACCGATGGCTCTTGTATTTCTGGCGCATTCAAGTGCGATAACACTCCAGACTGCTCCGATGGCCTGGATGAGGTGGAATGTTGTAAGTTAAGCATACTTTTCTCCTCTACCTGCGGGCTGATAATTTCAACCTCATGACTCTTCCAACTTACCCTTTTATCGAGTGACCTTGATCAATAGAGCCCTATCTCGCAATGTTATTTATTCATCAAGCTCATTCCGCAAGGCTACTGGTCGAGTTCTGATAATTGACGCACAGGAAACCTATCTGTAGCCTCACGCAGTAAAATAAATTGTCATGACGGGGAAATATATCTCTGCCATAAAGAAAGTGCATGATCAAATGAAACGATTACATCTCTGACGGATTTGAATGGTATTAGGGAAGTGTTAGTGGTAAGTAAAGTTTTGAGGTAAAAATTGTACTTTCTTTGTAATTGACATGCTTCAAAGAGGGAAAAACGCAATTAGTACACTGATGGAGAATTCTCATTGTACATTTAAATTCTTAAAAACAAGCTCGTTCTTTATAAACTTTAGAGCTGTGAAATTATGTTTTTAAAAACCAAATAAATAAAATACAATTAATGGTATTTTAAATTCAGGTCCTAAAACCCACTTATACGTACCACCATAGAGTGAAAGAAAGAAAATAATTTTTAATGCGTTTAAAATTATCAAATTTAAACATTTCCTTTCCCGGAAAGAAAGCCGGAGAGCTTTCAAAGTAAACCGCCACTGGTTTTCTTGGTTGTGTGATATAATGATAATATTTCAGAAAATTTCAACATTTATTCATATCATTGTGTTTACTTTTCCAACAATTTTACGATCATAATCCCTATGAAAAAATATATTTTTATCAGGAGAAATTTTCAACATTATAATCACTCATGACGTTCTTTTAATCTCTGTAGCGTTTTTCAATCGAAAGAAGCAAAAGGAGGTATCGAAAAATTATATTCAAACCTGGCTGCAAGCTTTCTGCATATACGATCAATTGAAGGCAGAATGAGGAAACCGTCAATTTCGGTGTTTTTTCTGGGTCGGATGCCAAGAAAATAAACGTGTAATGCATTTTCGTTGTCGTAACCCTGTGATGCGTTGTTTCTTGTTAGATGCTGAACAAATAAAATGCTCGAGGAATGAATTCAAGTGCAGGGGCTACCCGCGTTGCGTCCAGCATGTCTTCAGATGCGACGGTGATGACGATTGTGGCGACTGGTCTGACGAGGAAAATTGCCCACCGTCGCCGCATGCACTTTGCCTCGATTCAGAATTTCGGTAATTGAATGTTCGAGTAAAAATTGAAATTCAAGTAATTTCGTTAAATGATACGTAATTAATTTATTCAAATTTGACCGATTAACTGATTTATGTTGGGGAAAAAAAGAGAAAAAAGAAAAAAGAAAGGATCATATCTCTTCCTCACAGTACGATTATATTATATCGATCACTTCATCAATAATTTAGACTGTACACATACAGTACAAAAACACTGGACATGATATCGATATCTGTGCTGCGCTTCATAATCATTTTGTTTTCATCAACCAATCGCGGTGAACGCACGGGTCGAAAGACGAGATGTTGGAGTTTTTTAGCCAACGTGCGTAAAAATTCAGCTTAAAGCTGAAATCTCATTAGAGAGGGAAAAAGCTCACACACAAGCACAATTTTCCCTCAAAGAGATATGCTGTTCGATATGCTGTATGGACGTAACTAGTGTTGCTCCAAACAGCATATCTCTTTGAGGGAAAATTGTGCTTGTGTGTAAGCTTTTTCCCTCTCTTATGAGTTTTCAGCTTTAAGCTGAATTTTTACGCACGTTGACTAAAAAACTCCAACATCTCGTATTTTGTTTTCACCCGGTTTATACTTTTTGAGAGAAAAAATCCTACAGAAGGTCAATATTGAGGCTGAAGTTTCGAAAATATAAAACAAGATGTTTAACTATAACGTGTGAAACTCTTTGAAACAGGCACTGAAAATCTTGTGCATGAATCACATTGAAATTTCGTTAAAAACACTTCTTAAAATTTCATAAAACCTGACCTTTATTTACTTTTCAGCGATTTCTATCTTTAAACGAAATGCGGTTCAAAGATTTTGAACAAATCTATCCAAGTACTCGGTTTCCGAATTCTGAGTTTCGCTGATATTTTCGCTTTTCTAGATAATATAATCTTGTTCACAGAAAGTAGCTCTAAGAATAACAAATGATCTTTTTCAATTAATTACTATTACATGCATTTATCTCAAGCACATGCTCATGGGGAATTTTGCAGATGTCACAGTGGGAAGTGCATACTTCAAAAGTTTGTCTGTGATGGTGAACAGGATTGTGAATTAGGAGAAGACGAAGGTGCATGCTTGAAAGAAATCCAGAAACCATGCGCATCAGATGAGTACACTTGCCCCGGTGGTCATTGCATCAAGGTATGTTCCCTTATTGTCTCCTCTTTCAATTTCATTTTACTTTATTTCAGGGACGATCCGTTTCATATCTGTTGAGGGCAAAAAGTTGAATCACTCATTTTTCCGAATGATTATAGGGAAAAATTAGACTTTTCTTCCTTATATTTTTTTGCCTCTCTCATTGAAGTTCTAAATATTATGTAATAAGTTTTATGAGGTCATTTGAATACGTTCTTCTCTATTTATTTCGTATGGAAAATATCTTCCTCCACGGAACGTTTGGATCATCGAGCTCATTACAAAGCAGCCTTTCAACTCTGATCCTAAAATTCAATTCATCCCTCAGCCATATACGATCTTACTTGGATCTTAAATTGTAGATAGGGGGTCTCTATATTGATTTGGCTTTCCTGATCTCACAAAATCCACTTAATTTCTTCTTCCAGTCATCGTGGGTTTGTGACGGTGTCAAAGACTGCAGCTTGGGGGAGGACGAGGAGAACTGTAAAATGACGTGTTCGGATGAAACTCAGTTCGCCTGCAACCCGGTCAACTCGACGACACCCACAGTCCCCGGGACGAGACTCAAGCTTTTGCCAACTCACGCCCTTCGTGCTCACAGAACGTGCATTCCAAAAAATCGCGTATGCAACGGGAAAAAAGACTGCCCTCGTGGAGAGGGTAACAAACATAATCATTAATTTCCCAAAAACTCCGCAATTCCATTTAATCTCAGAAGAATGGAATTCATTAAATTCTTCTAACGTTTTTTGAGAGTAAAATACTTGACTATTATAAATTCTTGAGCAGGAGGCTATCAAGTTCAGATCTGAGGAGTAAGAGCTATCGGTTAATTTTTATTTCATGGACAAAAATTATTCTGTGATTCTTTTATTCATTGCGTCTATTCGAAAAATATACAATATTTAGTAATAACTCCCTCATTAAGCGTATTTAAATCTCAGATCCCTCCATAGTCTTGTTATACATTAAGCCTAACCAGAAAAGTTGAGAAAAGGCAAAATTGTCTGGCATTTATGATTATCTTTCTGATGTTCCTGTGAAATATTTGCCTTGAATTTTACAGAAGAGAGGGTACCTCACGGTGATTTTCCCGTGGATTTATGTGGGTGAATTGAATAGCATTGAAATAAAATGATCAAAATGTGTAAGGAATCACCATTTTCATGAAAAACTACACTGGGTTTCAATCAAGAAATCGTCACTCACCGGCCAAAGTATCACAAGTATCATGAGACGTTTCAAAATTTCCGCCGCCATTTTATTTTTTACGGAGAAATTGTTCAACGAAGCCGTCCAAAAATGTTACCGAATTTTTTTTGTGCCGTCGATAAAATTCAGTGAAATGTTCAACAATGTTGTGTGTGATTGAATCACCCAATTCTCTGTGAAAAAACATAAAATGGCGGTGGACATTTTTAAACGTCGTATAACATGTGATCCTTTGGCCGGAAGGTGACGAAATGGATTCCTATTTTTCGGAAAGACTAAGCCATTTTGCCTGAATGCAATCCATATCACGATACGTTTTTCACGACCGATGGAAATGAGTAAACTTTTCCCACAGCGAATCTAGCAAAAATTTTAATTTTCAGATGAAAGGAGTTGCCCAGTCCGTCGTTCAACGTGCCCCGGGAATACTACAAAATGTCATCACTTCTGCACCGATGAGCCAGACGGCTCTGACGGGTGCGGCTGTCTCCATGGCTTCATTTTGAGCAACGACGGTTTTAGGTAATTATCACACCCTCGTTAGCCTGGATTCAGTTAGTTTAAGAGCTAATATACTTTAATTAATTTGCATTCAATTCATAGTGGATTAATGTCTCATATCCTTAAGGTGATTTGTCACGAGTTCCAACGTGGTCGAGCTGGCGTGCGATATATCGCATCGATTAAGTAAATATCTTGACAAATTTTACATTTTCAGCAGGAAAAATGGACGATTACCTTTGCGTATGAGCCTAAAGAATTATTCGAAACAAAAGAAAATGACAAAATTCAGAGAGATGAAAGCAGTATCTGTTTTGGAAGAAAACCGCGCATTCATGCAGTTATCGGTTTTTGTATCGTGCGCGAGGTTTTCTTCCAAAACGGACTCTGCTTTCATTTCTTTGAGTTTTGCCCATTTTTCCATTTCGGTCGATAATGATTATTCAGAATCATGCACAGGGACTGTTGTCAATTTTTAGGCTAATTATGAAACAAGCAGGAAAGTCCAACACGATTAACTCCACACGTAAATAACACGTCCACTTTAATAAGTTCAACACGAGGCGTTGAATAAGCGCGGCATGATCATGAATAATCCTAATTTAACCGACGATTTATGGGAGGAAAAGGAAGTTTAATCGACGAGTGACAACTTGAACTTATTAAAAGAGGGAAGCTATGAAGTATATGTATGGTGCCAAAAGAAAAACAAAAACATTTCCATGTACATATGAGCTGCGAAGCTAAAAATATAAAAATTCGTCATATAAAATAAAAAGATAGCCCAAATAATAAATGTCAAGTAAAATTTATTGACATTAATTTAAAGTTTCTCTTGTCTTCAACATTACTATCGGGAAAACACAAGATATAGACAGAAAAATGTTAAAAATCGATTCAAACTTATCGATATTCTTTGTAGTTCAGCAACTTCTGTCATCACAGTTTGCGTTTGGTTGATTTATGGTCAGTGAACGTTAATCTTTACTTTTCTTACCTTAACTTTTCTTAACTTTTGCAATTCTAGAGGGGGAAAAGATGAGAGAAATCGATTGGAATCCTTATGTTCTTTAAATAATCTTTGTTACGCTTTCACAGCTGTGTGGATATCGACGAATGCTCGCCAGATCACGAGCCTGTTTGCAGCCAGCTCTGTGTAAATATACCTGGATCTTTCACGTGTAGTTGCAAAAATGGATACGTCCTGCGACCAGACGGCCGCACCTGCAAATCCATGGGAGTTTCACCTGCCCTCATTTTCGCCAACAGGGTCGATGTAAGACAGGTACGATACAGCAGATCATGCATCATTACAATCTCAACTGTATAAGCTCATCCAGCCTCCTTTTTAGAAATAAAATACTGAGGAACCGAATGACTCAAAATCGAGCTGTCAGAGCTTCCACATGCAGGATAATTTGACAAGACGATGGACCTGAGATTCTCCTTCAATTTGTCGAGTATGCAATTCCACGACATTCACGTTTGATAAGTGGTATGCTGCGCCGAAAAATCCTCTGTGTTTGCGGTGGCCAGCTTTGACAGGTATCGGCGTTGCTGTATTACACGGTGCATACTTTCCTAACATGCATTTGATCTCCTTTTTTTTCTTTAATTTTTACAGAAAACGCAATTTCATTTTGCCTTGAAATTTCGTTGGTATTCAGTTCATATTACAGATTAAAGTCTGAGAGGAGTCCAGGCAATTTTATCGATTATTTTTGGGCTCACAGAAATACAATTTGAAAGAGAATTGTAAGGACCTTGAGATGACATTAAACCGATTCTGTTGAAAGATGTTCATTGTTCAATCGCCCCAGCCGGTTTGCTTTGCAATGATTCTTGGCGGTATTCATAAGCCTCATTTTATCCTCTTATTTCTCAGGTTACGATAGACAATATGCGGTACACAGCTGTTCTAAAAGGATTAAATAATGCTATTGCCTTAGACTATCACTTCTCAAAGAATTACGTTTATTGGTCTGATCTGTCTTTCGATGTCATCAGTAGAGCATTTTTAAATGGGACAAAAATCACAGGTAGGTTGTTACCTTCCCTATATTTTATTACTTTCTACTAAATGGTGACTGGCGGTTGAATGACCTTCTTAGTACTCAAATGAATATTAGCTTTAAAATTGAAAAATCTTCAATAAAAAATATTTACAGTTTTTACATGTTCTATGGACGAGAAACATGTATTACAGACATTTGAGATGGATTTATAGTTTAATCAATATTTACGTTTAAAATATCGAAATTTAAAAGCTCTGTATTACCGACAAGTAAAAGTGTATACATACTCAAAATTGGCCCAACTGTCCAGTGTATACGCATGTGACTGACTGCTTTACTTAACTGACGGCTTTTAAGATACGGCCAATAGCCTCTGGTAACTTGAATCCGATTTTTTTTTTCAGATGTCGTGCGATGGGGTTTGCAAAACCCAGCCGGTTTAGCGATTGACTGGGTGCATAATCTCCTCTTTTGGTCGGACTACTCAACCCGGCGTATTGAGGTTACTGATTTGGACGGGAAAAAGCGTTACTCCGTAGTTTCAAAGGACTTGGATAAACCGAGAGCAATCGTCGTTCACCCAGACAAAGCGATTGTTTTTTGGTCGGATTTAGGTAAGTTCCTTTGGGAGTTCAAAACGCGTCGATTCATAAATGGTGTTAAAGGATTTCGTTCAGCAGTTAAAAAGCTTTGCCCGCTGAACTGAACATTTTGGCCCGAAAAATGCGATATTAAGTTGGTTTTTTTGTATTTATACACTCTGACGAGGCCAGTATTTTACGGGTACATCTGACGCCTTCAATATTACGTGATACATCTAATCATACTTTTATGACTCCGTATTGTTTCTCTACTGCCGTCCACGCTTCTGTCGAGCGCTTTGATAAGCTCACATTTTTCACCTTTTTCCGTAAGTATGATGAGTTTCAATAGTGAGGCTATCATTAATATAAACTTCGAAGGATTCAGACTCTCCGTCAATTCCACCTTTTTCTATTTCACTTTAGAGGCTGCCAGATTTCGGGATAAATTTGAATATTTTACATGAGTTTGAACTGGGTAGAGTGTTGAAAAAACAACTTATCTGGCAACAGTAGAGTCCGAGAGGGACGAGAGGGTGCCTGCCTGGCGGAAACCCCATGATTTATCCGGAAATGTCATTAAAGTAGATTGGTTCCGTTTGAAGCATCAAAGGTATACTAGGGGAAAGCTATTTTAAAATAATAATTGTAAAAGGACACAGATTCTACAAAAAAGGAAGAAATGAAAGGGAAGGGAGATGAAATGAGGATATAATTACTCATCCAATCAGAGAGAATAAAACAAAAACATCACAGAGATTTATATGCAATAAAACTAAAAAAAACACAAGTGGGCTCATAGCGATTCGGAACTCGAACTATTATCGTTGAGCAGTTTTTAGACCCCTACGCCATCGATGATCCTCTTAGGAAGTAAACATGAACTTTTGCTACTTCAGCAAGTCAAATCGCGGAAGGAGATTCGCGGTTGTCACTTTCCTCCACCCGATGGGAGTGACGCACCAGTCAAGTGCGGTTTTGAAGAAATGGTCGATCCCCATCATTGCCTCATCTCCACATATTTATTAAGGTGCAAGTGATGCCACGCTCCAGTAAGAAGGTTCTGTGTCAAAATCATTTTTGTCTTGAGATTGTCCAAAATGTAAACATCATAGTGATCAAATGTCCAACTAACCAGAAAAATGGCTCGCGAAGCGAGTGACCGGGGGTCCAGGGGGCACAGCCCCTTGGCTAGCCGTGACGAACGCGCAAAGCGCGTCCAGAACGACCAGTAAAGTCACAATCTTGGTTGTTTTAGACATAATTGTGAAAAATGAACCATTGTTATTGCGTAGAATGCCTACGATGTCCTTTTACGGCTCTGAATATTAAGTACTCAAAAAATGATTCTACGTGATATCTTGCTTCTCACTATGATTACTTTAAGATTCTAGCTCTGTTTTGATACTGGGCATAATTAGGGCCATTAATTTAGCTAGCTTTGGATTTTTCCAGGGCCTCACCCAAGAATCGAGCGTATCGAAATGAACGGCGAGAATCGGAGGGTCGTTGTGAACAGCTCTCTTCAATGGCCAAACGGATTGGCCATCGATTATCCTGCTAGCCGCCTCTACTGGGTTGATGCTAAAACGCACCTCATCGAAAGCAGTAATTTGGACGGAACCAACAGACAGCAGGTAGTTTTTTGCTCTTTATGTTTTTTTCCTCATTATTATATTATTTTCTTACACGCAGCAGGAACGAATATGGAAATATTCATGGCGGGAATTTTTATTATATGCAGGGACGATTTTAGGGAGAGGTTCTGGTTTGCTATTTTATTCAAATTAAAGACAATTGGATACTTTTAAACATTTTGAATGGAGCTGAGTACTTATTTTACTTTAGTCATCGATATGCATAATAGTTTAATTTGAACTTTCTGCTAATTACGATAAAATATTTGAATAGGTTGAGTTGGCGTCTCTGTAATTTTTAAATGTATCACATGTGCGCTGCCGTGCTAAGTAAAAGCACGGTATGAGCCTTCGCTCCTTCAGACGTTGCCAACATTTTTTTAATTAATCACGACTTTCGGGAAATTTTACAAATCTTTTCCGTCCAGTTTCATGGAGAATTTTGTTTCTAATTTTATCTTATGTGTCCGAAAATTTCAAGGAAAAATATTCGAACCTTTCCTCAAAAATTCATTTTTTAAGTGGAAATGTGGCAACTCTCGGATAATGTGATAATGATGCCTTAACACGGCAGTACGTAAGACCGTCGGAACCGTCCTTATTTGCACCATATTCTAAAATGTGTCCATTTTTTTTTCTTTTTTCTCTTGGTCAGGTTGTCACTAAAGGTCTTCCGCATCCATTTTCACTAACTGTTTTTGATGATGCTTTATACTGGACTGACTGGCACACCAAAAGTATCTCTACTGCCAATAAATTGACAGGAAATGGCTTCAGAATCGTTCACTCTGGTCTACATTTTCCGATGGGGATAAAAAGGTAAATATTTAATTGTTAAATTTTAATTACATGAGCTGTTATTAAAAATGTAATTAAAGTATATTCATGGAAACTGTAAAATGAGTAGATGATTGGGCTAATATATTCATGAATCAAGTTATTTCGCCTAATAAGTCGAACTCTAAAGCCAAAAGTGATGAAAATTGAGATCTCATTATGAGATTTTAATCATACCCAAAAATTCAATTACGGCATCGTTCAATTTTTCAGCAGTCAGATGAGTTATTTCATCTTCTTCCATCATCTTCTTATTCTTTTGTGACGTAGATTTAAGATTAAGGGTGACCAGTGTTAAGGTCATTTATTTTTGTAACTCATTTTAGTCAATTTTTACGACTTGTTTGGATGAGTAATGCACTCTGTCGGACTAAAAATATGGCAATGTCAGCTTTCCATATTCTGAAATGATATACTGCGCTCCTTATCTAAAAAATGTTCCATCTCATGCAAATGTATAGGCTTTCGAATGATTATCCTGCATCCTACATTTCTGTAGAAAAAAAATCTCTATAGAAATTAATTCTGAGCCACTCATAGCAATGATACCTTTTTGACGAAAATATCATTAAGCTAATGCATTTTTCTCAAGGAAAAAAAAACTTAAACTGATACATGAAATCTGCTCCTCCTTTTCAGTTACCATCCAGAAAGTCAACCTGCGTATAAGAATCACTGTGGTGATAACAATGGTGGGTGTTCATACCTGTGTTTACCCAAGGCAAGCAGTAATTCATATTCTTGTGTCTGTCCGCTTGGATCTGATCTTGGTAGAGACAAGTAAGTTTTTTACAGAACACTAATACTCTCTCGCAAAACCCTCTTTTTAGCTCAAAATAGTTTAAAAAACACAAAAAAATACGACCAATTATACTTTCACTTGAAATATAAAATTACTGTCACTGCCCCTCTCCAGATATTTATATCTCAAACTGTGCAATGAATAATTGTCATAAAAGATGGATTTTTTTTTTTTAGCTATTTGCATGATTTGTCTTCAATGTCAACATAGTTGGGAACTAAAAACTAAAAATTGAGCAATTGTAAATCATACCAAGAGGAATGTTTTGCAAATACGTTAGAGCAAAGAAGTCCAAAAATGTCCAACCAAATCTGAGTTTAAGCTTTGAAATTTACAGTTCAAAGAACGTTGAGTGGAGAAAAATAAATGTAAAATTTTAATCCGCCATGTTTTAAGCTTCCAGATTTTGAATTAAAATGGCACTTCTCACCATGAATGGGTAGAAACGTGCCAACAATCTCTACGAAATCAAATTTTTGACTCAACTCTTTGCGCTTCTAAAAAATTGACCTCCGCGAACAAGGGTCTCCAGTGACTGTCTCGAGCAGAGGGATCAACAAGTTATCCATTCTGCTGATTCCCCAAGTGCTTTCCTTCCTGGCATACTTTTTCATGGGTTAAAATACAAACTATTTGTGCGGGCGGGGAGCAGAAGACACACCTCACCAAGGGGGGTTTAAAAGGTTCCACCAGCTCCAAAAAGGTGGGGTGGGAGGGACCTCTTAAGCTTCAAAAAGGAGGCCTGGGAGACCGGCATCCCCCAGCTCCCCCTAGTTTCTCTCATAATACGTCTTTCCTCATTAGTAGTTTCCCGAGACGTTTCTGCTAAATTATTTCAACGTTGAACTCTTTTCCTCAGGCGACAGTGTGAACCGCCATCGAAAAACATTTTGCTGGTCGTGCGGAAGAAAGATCTGCGGTTGATGTTAATGAGAAATGAAACCTACCTGACAGAGGACACGGTCATGCCCCTGGACGGGATAAGATCGGCTGAGGCACTAGCGTGGGACAGTGCTGCTGACGCGATATTTTGGTCCGATGTTGAAACGGGATCAATCAACACGGCCTCGCTCAACGGTTCAAATCAGAGAAGTGTTTTCCATTATAATGTGGGTAAGTCTTGTGTAATGTAAACTTATTTTCAACGTGATTTGGGCACGGTTTCTTTTTTCTCAATCGGCTCAAGTGTTTTAATGGTAATTCATGACAATTGCTAATTTTTACTCAGTTTTGTAGGAATGTTATGTAGCTTTGACTAAAGTTTTTCTCTTAAGAGATAATGAAAATGAGGAGAAGCGCAACTTCAGAAAGTCTTGTCAATTTCTTTCTGCAACCTAAAACTTGTTTACTGACGAGCTAGTATCATGATACTTACGTAAAAAAGGTTAAATTCGTTTGGTTTTTCGGTTAGAGATCCCTGGGCTTGTTCCTTCAATGACACTTTACTGGCGCTCTGGTCCAATATTTTCTTGAAGAACCTGGCTTAAACCTTGAAAAGCTTCAAATAATCATCAATATGAACTTTGTAAGCGTTTGCAGCCTTCGTCTTAGTTTCAACTGATTATTCCTTTTCCAAAGGTTGATGATAATGACTGTGGAATGCGACTTCAGAAAACAGAAAGATTGTTACCAGAAAAGTAAAAATACATTACTTTAATAATTGTTAAGTTTTGTAGTATTTTCATAAGTTTTTTACGACCAAAAGAGAACTGAAAATCTTCATATATATATATTAGTTTTCAACCGATAAGGGGATAGACTTAGCTGAAATTCATTTTTTGATAAAACGTGAAAGTTAAGTAAGGAAAAACAAATATAAAGTTTTATGAATCTGTTCAAAATTTATAATGGACCACTAGACAAGGTACGAATTTCAGCATTCTGATACAGGTTTCTTAACCGAAATTTTCCGTAGAACACGATGCGCACAACAAAAACTACCGAAATCAACTCCTTACGAAGAAATTAAATGATTCTTGATGCGTGAATTCAAACCACCCGCTCATGAAAACTCAATGCTATACGTGATTCACATCGCGCGCTAAACGTCGCACGGTGCGTTTTAAACAATTTTAATGCGGTCAACATACCACCCGCGATTTTTTTGCGGAAATGTCAACTAGAAGGCCTACTGATTGAGGAACAACAAACCGCGAAATCTGTGATGGGGCCGTTTTTGAGAAAATGCGATTTTTCGCTTTTTTGGCGGGAATTTCGGGTCAAGGCGCTGAAAAAGTCAAGTTAGGCTGTTTTTGTAGTTCGTAAATGCATATCCTATACATTTTGAGTCAATCAAGTGCCAGTAGATTCGTGCATATTGCCCAAAATTCATATCCTTAAATCCACGACTTTTGGGTTTTTGGGGGGTTAGTCAAGGAGAAATCCGAAAAAAAGAGGGTTAACCCGGAACAAATTGCTTAACAAACTTTTCCTACGTAAACTTCTTCAGTAGGTCCTATTGAACAACATACCAAAAGTTTACCACGGTTCGCTCCCGGAACACCCCCCCCAAATTGCCTAAATTTCAAAATGGCGGCCATAATAAGGCCTCTGGGAGTTCGATTTTTTTAAAAATACGCATACAGTGTCATGTGAGGTGTCAATTCCTATGTAATTTTGGTCGTAGATTTCAAATATGAAGTAAAAAAAGTCCCTTGATCGAAAGGGGGTACCCCAAATCCAAGATGGCAGCCAATTTTGAAAGTCAAGAGGGTGGATTTTTAAAAAGTTCGCGTGATAAGGCAAGTGATCATTTCTTATGTAATTTTGGTCGTAGATTTCATTTATGAAGTCATAAAAGCCCTCAAGTCAAAGGGATTGCTCCAAATGCAAAGATGGCGGCCAGCTTTGAAAGGCAGGAGGGTGAATTTTTGAAATGTTTACGTGACATCCCTAGTAAAATAGAATCAACCTGACGTCAGGGTATGTTTCATAAACTACCCTGAGTCAGATTGATATCAGCCTGAATTAGTCTGACTCAGGGTAGTTTATGAAACGTCAGGACTACTGAAGAAGTTTACGTAGGAAAAGTTTGTTAAGCAATTTGTTCCGGGTTAACCCTCTTTTTTTCGGATTTCTCCTTGACTAACCCCCCAAAAACCCAAAAGTCGTGGATTTAAGGATATGAATTTTGGGCAATATGCACGAATCTACCGGCACTTGATTGACTCAAAATGTATAGGATATGCATTTACGAACTACAAAAACAGCCTAACTTGACTTTTTCAGCGCCTTGACCCGAAATTCCCGCCAAAAAAGCGAAAAATCGCATTTTCTCAAAAACGGCCCCATCACAGATTTCGCGGTTTGTTGTTCCTCAATCAGTAGGCCTTCTAGTTGACATTTCCGCAAAAAAATCGCGGGTGGTATGTTGACCGCATTAAAATTGTTTAAAACGCACCGTGCGTCATCATGACAGTCTCTGCGATATAAAAATCTGGCAACCTCAATCTTGACGCTTTGGCTCAGTTATAGCAAATTGCTTATAGTTTGAACAACACATGGTGGGAAATGAACGTTTGCTCGATTGAGAGGCTCGCTGAAACCGTTGTGGTGCGCGATTTGACTTACGTAGAGCTTTGAGTCTCTTGTGAGCGGGCCTTTCAAATTCCTCATAACCAATGTGAAATAAAAACGTTAATATCTTCCTTAGGAGTTGATTTCAGTAATTTTCGTTGCGCAAATCGTGTTTCGCGTGAAATTCTGGTTCGGAAACATGTATTAGAATGCTTAAATTCGTACCTTGTCTAGTGGTCCATTACACAAAAATTATTAAAGTTTCAGGCAAAATAAATGCGGTAAACTTCCAATGGAAAACGGACACTTTTACTTTCTTTTATTTCCGTTTTTAAATAGATTTGGTCACCGGCCTGGATTTTGATTGGATCACCAAAAAACTTTATTGGGTGAATTCGGATAGACGTTTAATTGAAGCAGCGGCCATTAATGGATCTAGGTCTATTCTAATATGGGAACATTTGGATCAGCCAAAAGATATCGTTATTGCTCCAATGCGTAAGTAATATTTTTTGAAATGTTTAATGCTGAACGAAATGAATCTTTCTTTTCGAAAGTCTCCTGATTGCATAGTTAGCTTTAATATGTACGGTGAAAGTATAAACGTTACGAGCTTATATGTATATTGTATTCAAAAGTAACTACCAAAATTTCAAAGCTCTTTAATCGTTACGAGATTTTACCTTATTTTTGAGGTTTACCTGTTGGTGCATCTAAAAATTTAAGGTAATTCCCTGGTCTTCGATGTATTTAGCCTGAGTGCTGATTGTCATATTTTATCTGCTAGCTAACTCTAATTAAATATTTTCTATGAATGGTACGATAAAGAAAAAGAAATTTGAATATTAATCGTAAAAAATATATAATTTGCAGCAGCATCAGATTATGAAAGTAATTTTAGTAAGAATACGTAAATGTCGAAAATTGAGAATCAATTTTTTTTAAGAAAACAATTTTGTTCCAGAGGGCATGATGTTTTACACCGATGTTGGGAAGAAAGCAAAAATTGAGTCGGCATACATGGACGGCTCTAATAGGAAAATCCTGGTGACAGAAAATCTCATCTCCCCCAACGGATTGGCAATTGACTTCGAAGAGAATACCCTCTATTGGGTTGATTCGGGCACCCACACCTTGGAGAAAATAACCTTCTCCGGTGATGAGCGGAAGGTGGTCACTGGTAAGACTCTTGGTAATTTAATCATATCAAATGTGTATTATCAAATTACTTTTTTTACAGCCTACTGCAACGCGTAGCAATTGCGTCTGCGCATGAAATTGGAGGTTGAAATGCTCCATCTTAATAAGCTCCAAGTTAACTTTTCCAGCACCTATACCTCTTGAGATGAAACTGAAAATAACCCACACACTTACAGCCAAAGGATGGACACCAGCCGGATACCCTGAACTTAGTTGAAAATTTGCCTTGCTAAATTGTGAAATAGAAAAAAATTGAAAATTCATCTAGAAAAAGATGTGTAGAAAAAAATTGTTCTTCGATCATACGATCATCACCTTCACCAGTTTTCTCTAAAAAATGTGCTTGTCTTCCAGGAGATGGGCTTCCGTATCCAACTAGGCTTGTTGTGTACGGAAAAAAAGTATTCTGGACTGACCGGAATACATCTGGGATCCATGCTGTGGATAAGACAAATGGTCGAAATCACAAAATATTACGGTAAGATGTGCTTAAAATACATTTTTCGTACACGTACGTCAATACCCCCTTCACTCCCACAGTCTCTATCTGCGCATGGAGAGTTTGATTGAAAATAAAGGTGGACTCTCCTCGTATCGTGCATGGCCGATTTCCTCAATTTCGCTTTCAATTTTGAGAACTGTTTTGAGCTTAATTGCTTGTTGTGAACAAAACCAGTTCTACCATCGTATTTTGCGCAAAATTTAACGGAATGTGGTAAATTCTTTAAATCGAATTTTAACTGCATTCCGAAAGAAATATGTCACAGACGATTAATCAGTACCTCTCAAAACTGCAGGTAATCTGCAGAGACATTTTAAATTCGATAATTTTTTCATTTTTCTAGATCTGGTTTGTCAAATCTGATGGACATTAAAGTTTTCCATCGTGAAAGGAGAGAGGTGTTCTCAAAATGCTCCGATAACAACGGTGGCTGTTCACACACGTGCCTTCTAGCCGGAAGTTTGCAGAATCACTCCTGTGCCTGTCCCATTGGACTTAGACTTTCTGTACGTATCATAGCATATTTTTAAGCATGATTTCTCATATGTTCCAATGAGCGTATGCGAAAATGGCTACGCTAAAGAAAATACTTTATAAAAGAAAAAGAAAAATATCGGCACCATTATATGTTGAGGATCAAGTTTTGCGAACATTTTGGGAGGAAAATGCCCAAAAGCGTTGAAAAAAACTGGCATCATAGAAAACCTGAAGTTTTACTCTGCTTTGTTCGGGATTGAGAATCGTTGGATGAAAATCCAACTTCACACCCTGTATAATGGGAAAAACATTTTGAACTTGGTTAGCCGACTGCTCTGTGCTAAATATCGATTAAAACGACTAATCCAACGGTGTTCAATATCGGTCGAACCGTTCAATTTTCAGCCCTGAATTTTCAGTTTCTGTAACTAAACGCTCACTTCATGTTAGCGAACATACTTTTATTATTTGGCTTTTTATAAAAGTTTAGACCTTCAAATCGAAAATTTTAAAAAAGTTTGTAAAACCAAATAGTTCAATCGAAATTGAACATAGAACTTTTGCTCGTATGTTTGATCCTATTTTTCAGTGTAATGGCATAGAGTTAGAATACATCGCCGGGAACTTTTCCTTTCCGTTAAATGGTAGGGTGTTTTCCGTAAAAATAAATTTAGATTTAAAAAGATCAATCAAAATCATATGATTTTAAGTAAAATATGACGAAATTAATATATTTTAATTCAATTACTATTTTCAGTATCTAAAAGAAGCTCCCTTGAGAAAGTTATTTTTTGTGCTTCAGAAGCCCATTAAGGCACATATGGTTTAATTAGAGTACCAGTAAAAACGACAGAGAGATTTCCTGTTCTTACATTGAAATTTGTCTTCGAACAGGATAATTTTTTCAATTGCTTTCCATATTTTTTCCAGAGTGATAAAATTAACTGCATAGTGAAATCCAACAAATACTTGGTGATGGCTCACCGCTCCCATATCCGGAAAGTTTCATTTGACGTTCCTTATACGGTGGATTCGGTGCTGCCTCTTCCACCGTTACAGAGTGCTGTCAGTGTTGATGTGGATGCTACATCCGGTAAGCTCAAAAATTAATGCTGTCTCGTTGTTTTCCAGAGGCTACAAGAGGGCGGGTACAACCATTGGCAAGACTTGCAAGAGTCAACTTGAAAGAGACTCATCGATTGCCTCGACTTAAACCGCTGGCCAATGAGAGGGCCAAGAAAGGCATCGATAAACCTCTTTGAAGCCTCCACTTTGATCGTCTCATACGGGCTATGGAGTTAAGATGAAAAAGCACACACGATTTTTATATTTTCCGAGTAACCGCAAAAACTCCTTCCTTGTCTTCGGTGAATAAATTTTTACCATAAAATTTTGATCCAAACGCTTTAGAGATATAATTTTAGACACTCTTTTAGAAATATTAGTAAATAAGGGAAAGCGGCATATTTTACAGTCGTCATGCAGCAAGTCGAGTGTACATTTTGTCTAGTATAATTTTAGTTTCAATTTAATCTGAAAGCAGATTTGTGCAGACGGCGCAGAGATACAACTATTTGTGCTTGATGGATGTCCGTGTTGCATCCGAAGAATTGAAGGAGCAATGGCGCGAGGCATGAACTCCCATAATGCAAGTGAGGTGTCGCTCAAAGTCGGGAGAAAATTTTAAGAAACCAGGCCGGATTATGTCTCTCCCATCTTCGGCTGTGTTGACACTCGTTTTTTTCTTCTTTTTCTCAATTTGATGTCTCATTATTTTTTCTCATGGGGTATTTGTAGACCCGTATCTAAAGCTGGTAATAGAAGCCATAAGGCACGTGTTTTTAGCAAGCCTCGGTCCAATTTGACTCGGCTTGTGCACCTTGAGATTAAATCATGAGGTCAACTCGCGTTACGCGTCAGTGTGTTATTCACCGGTTGCGAGGTATAAGTCATTGACTATCGATATTCTCCCATTGAAAACTATAGTGAAGAATCAATTATCAAGGTGTTTTCGCGAACACCCTGATGATCAATTCTTTTTCACAGGTTTTGGTGGCAAATTCATCGCTTAGTGGCAAAACACGGAGTCAGCTGCGTTCTTAGTGATGATCACAGTCATCCCTCTTAATGGTGCGGCGAGCTTTGCGATATATCCAGTGATCTGCCATTTAAACACATGGAAAAGGATCGATAAATAGGGTGCTCGCAACGAACAACTTAATAATCGATTTTTTACCATAGCTTCAAATCTCAACATATCGAATCGATCATTTAGGCCTCGCCACTGATTCCTCTTCAAAACATACTCCTCAATACTCAACTTCCTCATCGATTCCCAGAATTAATCAATTATATTGTGTTAGGTGAGCTCTATTGGGGTGACATCAACGAAGCTCTGATTATGAAAGCAAGTGACGACTCTTCAAGCATTGCACCTGTGATTCACGATGGAATTGGAAACCCTCAAAGCATTGTTCTTGATTCAGCCGGTAAAAAGGTATTGATCTTCCCACGTCATTCTGTACTTGAATAAAATATTTAATTTTAACTTGAATCAATAAATTCAACTTCTTTACCCGCGGATGGACCCAAATTAATGCATGTCTTGGCCATTGAAAATAAACGTAAACCCAATTTCATGTATTACATGACTTTAGCTTCCCAAAGGTCTTTTTGTTCTCTAATTTCACGGTTATCTTAAAAAAAATCAGTAGAAATGAGCCAGCCAGAAAAAAATATTTTTTGGGAGGAGCGAGGTAAAGTTGGAATGACCATGCAGCGTCGAAACACAACATGGGCCTTTTTAGCCCCATTCTTCGATGCCGCGATTATCTAACGCGAGTTCAAATAATCGTACCAAACACAGTGCAGCCAGTGTTAAACTCATCTTAGCGCCTCCAAAACTGCAAGAATACTTCGGGGATTGCGCCAGACAGTGAGGTTGGCGTTGGACGCTTATTAGCGCCTACAGGACTGCATGAATACTTCTCGCATTGCGCTTATTGCCGCGCAGTCGGCCAGTTTGCGTGGAACGCACATAGGGTGTATATTACGGCTTTTGAATCCATTCATCTCTTAAATAACTTGAAAATGGTTGTTCTACGATTTTTTACGTTCAGTTTTTTTCTCAGTGGTTGGCGGCCGCTTAGCGGCCACATATCATTACTATGATATAATTTTAGAATTTTGTATTACTTTTTGCGTAGATATATTGGGCCGATTCTTTCCTTCAAGTGATTCAAGTTTGTGATCTGGATGGAAGCAACAGAAGTTTGTTGATTTGGGAAGACCTGGAGAACCCACGCGCTCTTGCCCTCCATTACAAGCGCGGACTAATTTTCTGGGCTAACTGGGGCAAAAATGCTAAAATTGAGCGCTCTGAAATGGGTGGCAGTAATCGGTAAGTTTCCAGGCAAACAGGAGTTTTCACTTTAAATCTGATTGTTTCCCCACCAGATTCTCAGTAAAGTTCAGTTTCCAATGGTGGTTCTTTTTTCTTACTCTAATCCAGATTCGAATTTTGAAATCATATAAATGGTATTTTAATATAGCGAGGATGATTACATCCCGTTTTATTCGTGTATAGAAATAAGTGAAGCCTGCTTTTATATTTTCTCAACACTTCAGCCGATCCAGTGAGAGTAGCGTTTGCTCGACGTTCTTTAGGATCAAAGCATTCCAAAGGCAGTATTTGCCAACTCATATTATTAAATATTAATCTTTTGCCTATTACACATTTGGCTCAACAAAAAAAGATAAAAAAAGTAAAATAAAGATATCTATTTTTCACTTGCGCATGCCCGTGTGCGAGTATAATGACTAGGTGATAATGTATTGACACCTAGAAACGCATCATAGAAACCATCCATTTTCTGCATGAGGGCTAATTTCACAACATCCTTTTAAAAATAGTTTGCTATTTTTTGTAACAAAGGATGTGATGACTGATTGTTGAATTTATGGACACAGCAATAGACAAATAAGACATACGGAGTATGGAGGAAGGAGCGATCCTATTGGTTGACATTTTTGGTTGTTGCCTACTAAGGAAGGAAATGGTTGACTAACTAAAGGGTCTCTCGTTGGTTACTGTTAGGTAGGATGGCCTAACGAGACTAGGTCAGTCCTTCCGAAAACGAAAATAAGAGCTCCACACTGCGGATGACGTCAGCAGGAGGCCAGTCGAGCGGGAAGTTTGAAGACGCATGAGGTGTCGTTTCCAAGACGCGCTTGCCTATTTAGAATCTCTATAATCTTAAACGAATCCCTCAGGGAATCTCACGCGCCCCTCATGTCGGGGATCAGAGTGGGCTCCTGCCGACGCGACGCGACGCGACGTCATGCGTCACGGCAAAACTCCGGTGGGCGAGGGGTGGGGGAATTGGGGGATCTGCGCAAGGACTGACCTGGTCTCGCTAGACCATGCTTAGGTAGTCTATTACCTTCCTCCTATGTCCATTCCAATCATCCGCTTCCACCAATTGGATCCATCCATTTTGTCTTATTTGCCTATAGTTTTGTCTATGAATTTCAAGAATGAGCCCGCTGATTGGAGTAATTTAATTTCGCAGTCGAGTACTTCATACGTCGGAGCTGAAGTGGCCGAACGGATTGACGATCGACTTTGAGAAGGACCTGCTCTTTTGGAACGATGCGTGGAACAGCGTTATCGAATTCAGCGACCTGGACGGGAAGAACCGGAAGACATTCTTGCGGAACATAGAGCATCCGTACGGCATGGCCGTGGCCGATCCGTACCTATATCTCACAGACTGGAAGTCCGAAACGCTTCAGAGAGTCCACAAGAGCACCGGCACGGGCCTCGAGATCATCAGCAACAATCTCAAAACACCCATGGAAATGAGATACATAGAGGTTATCATCCACCTATCAGGATACACTTCATCCATGAATAACGGGCTACTTGTACGTCAAAAAACCAAAAATTGAGGTAAACGTATCAAGCACAAAGGAAACATGCTCCTGAATGGGCCAAAAATAAGTGACATCAACTCACGTAGTGCGTGTAACATCGGGTCGTCCCCTCACGAAAGAACGTAATTGCATGTCAATGTTGTCAAATTTCCCTAAAATGAGAGGTTTGGGCATTTCTAAATGATAATTTTACTCCTTTTTTCCGATCTCATGCGAAAATTATTAAAATTTTTAACAAAAATTGCACAGGCATATCCTTGCAAAAAATTGAATTATTTGAGTCAATCTGGCAACCTTGCGATGGAGTTACGTTCCTTTGTCCGGGAAACGACGAGTTGTAACGTCGACAAAAAAGCGTAAGTGCTAAGTTTTCAGGAATAATCTAACAATTGAATAACTCAAATCCACTTTTTGGCATTTACAATTAGTCCGTTATTAATATTTTACTTTATTAGTTATTTTTCTAACATTTTTCTTAGAATGGCTTTCATTTCCTTGTTTTAAATTTAAACACTTAGAAAAAAAAGGAACCGCAGAGACAGGTGGATCCTCCTTTTCATTACGAAGAAGAGGCGTCAAGTTTACTGTAGAAAATCATTTTTCGTCATGGACAATGTTGCTTTTCACCTAACGGTCAAACCTTGTGGACCCCGGGGACCCCCCCCCCCTCTCCAAAAAAAAACAAAGCGACACGTTTCACATTTGTTCTAGTTAAACTAGAGACAAGATGACCCTCCACTAGTATCTTGGTAATGGTGGAAGCTTTTACTTTCGGGACTTCAAACTTCACCTGTTGGCCTACCTACTAGGTCGATGATTAACATCGTGTTGCGAGTTTCGTTTTGTAAACAAACCGAAGTTTGGGAAACTTGTTTGGCTCATGACGTTACCCGAAGTCAATCTTCCTAGTAGGTGAAAAGTCAAAATTTATGATGTTGCACTACATTCCCTTGTCTGTTCTCGTTTTCAGATGGACAAAGTGGACGACAACAGCTGTGGGCTGAACAACGGAGGTTGCTCGCACCTTTGTTTGCGAACAGCTTCGGCCTATATGTGCAAGTGCCCAACGGGGCTAAAGATGAAAGATGATGGGAAGACTTGCAGCTCTCAACTCTTTTCGTTCATCATGATCTCTGCCAAGCAAGCGATTTTCAGAGTGTCCACTGATACGCCCGAGCTGTGGCCAATCGTCCTTCCTGTCAACCCAAGCATTCATAATGCAGTCGCCTTGGATTTTCACTGGAACAATAGCGCTATCTACTACGCAGACGTAGCTGCTAAGACTATCAGGTACTCGTCGAATTCAACTGTGAAATAATTCATTTCAACCTCAAGAAATTATGAGTACGTAACGTTGGAAAATTATGAGTAACGTGCGGATTGTAAAGTTGTGTACGGTTCAAACAAATTGTACGTACCTGTTTGAATACAATAAGTTTCAAAATTTGCTTAAGATTTTACTGAGGAGCCATGCAAGTATTACGTGATCCACTTAGAGGCGAAGAGATTTTGCGCCAGCGTTACGGTGCGTTACAAAGAAAATTTTTGAGAATTTTTTGAAAAATTGGGGGGAGGAGGGTCAAGCCAGCGTTAATCCAAAAGGGAAGATGTAGGACTACGTTACGGCCACGTTACAATGAGGAGAGGGGGTCAAAAAATCGAATAAAGTGCATCATGTAATACTTGAATGGTCCTTCTAGGTCACCCGTGATCTCTGAACCCGTATTTAGAATGTGACAGAAAATAAACCTAATTTTTAAGCATTAACGCAATCCTTATTTTAAAAACGGTTAAGAAAATTCGAGCGGATTTAATCTGATATTTCGTCTCTTCGTAGGAAAATGGGTTTAGAGAGAGAGGATAATCACACAGATGTTGTCACGAACATCCTCAGTGTGAACGGAATTGCAGTAGATTGGTTGGCTAATAATATCTACTGGACTGATGGAGGCTCTAAATCTATTCATGTGGCACGACTGGATGGCCGTTTCCGCAAAACTATCGTAAACTCTGATCTGGAGGATCCATGGTCCATCGCTGTGTTTCCACAAAAAGGGTAATTCTTTTTGTTTTATTTTCAAACACGATCCCCACGTATTTTTAAGTTCATTGACGATATCTTACATAGTACTCTTTTCGAAATTTTGGAAAAAACAGGATCCAAAATTTGTCGAAGAAAGAAGAAGAAAAATAAGTAAAATATAATATAAATATACATATAAATAATATGATATTAGAATCAAAAGGAACAGTCGGGTGAACGCGCGTGCACTTTTTAGCGCATACGTGTAAAAAATCATGGAGAAAAAATTACAGGAAAATATTCCTAAGAACTAAAAGAGGACTAAGAGCTAGTAAATTTTTATTCCTCAGCTATACTTGGTTGATGCCTATCCGCAAATGAGGTTACGCCAATTTACTTAGCATAGTACTTATGGAGCGAGGAGTCTGACGAAGAGAGTTATGATGCCAGAAAGACAAGCGGGAAAAAAGTTAAAGTTCCGCGCTACTTGAAGTTCTGAGGTATAAAAGAAAAGGGGCGAAACGGATATGGTGAAGGAGTTTCTTCAAGTCATATTTTGCCGAAAAATTAATCGAAATTGAAATGATGTTTTCTTCTGAAAATTCAATCCACACGTCAGAAGCGGGGATAAAAGAGGTCCAGTTTGCGCCAAAAGTATGTTATGAGAGGAGAAAGGGTGAGAATCAACAAACGATTAATTCAGATTGAAGGCTCCCGTATATTTATTTATATCAATAAATTTCAATTTCTGGACTATGTTCAGGTATTTGTACTGGACGGACACAGGGGATGACCCAAAAATTGAGCAATCTCTGCTGGATGGCTCAAAACGAAAAAACATTGTTTCCGGTGGGCTCATGTTCCCAAAAAGTCTGACAATTGACTATGCTGCGAAACGACTTTATTGGATCGACAGTGTGAATGACAGAGTTGAAACTTCTGATCTCCATGGCAACAACAGGGTTGTGCTCATTCAAGAACCAGTTATGCGACCCTTCAGTTTGACCCAGGTGAGCTGTTTTCAATGAATTACGGAGACTGATAAACAAAGTCATTAACTAATCGTTGCACCCCGTACGAAGGAATGTAAAGTTTATTTCAAGGTTGAAAAACTGACTCAACCGATTCCTTTTTTTACAAGTAGATAACTATGCAGTTTTTGTACAAAATTTAGCAGATTTTTGCGGGCAATTAAAAATAAATATAATAAAAACATTTTGCCTGAATTAAATTTTCCGGATTGATTGAGGCACCTCCTCAATGAGTCCAAATTAGACTCCCCTCAGCGTCACACTTGATGGTTTTTTTGCAGCTGCGGAGGAATCTGTACTGGACGGACGTGTTCAATCGAACGTTGCACGTAGCTGACAAACTGACGGGGATCCACAAACAAACATCCCGTGGTAGAATTAGGAGCGTGATGGAGATCAAAGCAATGGCTTACGATATCCAGACAGGCTGGACCCCGTGCCTTGTTCAAAACGGAGGCTGCACGCATCTCTGTTTCTACAAAGGCTACCGTCACGGTTACACGTGTGGCTGCCCCGATCTCCCCGATGTAACTTGTCAAAAAGGTACGTCATCATCACGGGTAATTAAGGCTCAACATAATAATATGTTGTAGGTAACGATCCACAGGAACAATACTCCAGTCTATTGGGAATAATATGAATAGCAATTTTTCTCAAAATAAATTTAGAAATATAAAACCTGAGTTTCTTTAAAAGATTTGAGTGCATTTTCAATGACAACACTTGTGAGCTATCAAATTGTGTTTAGTATATTTTTTTATTTCATACATACATTGTATAAGTCGCTTTACAGCACTCCCTCGCGCTCTACGACTCCTAACCTCCACTGCTCTCTTTCAAACCATAAATCTTGGGGGATTGAGCACCTTAACATTTCTGCTTCAATCCCTTCCCTCCAACCTTTCATTGGGCGCCCTCTGCGTCGTTCTTTTTATTTCATTATTGCCGAATTATTTAAAAAAAAAAAAACATTTTTGTAAGGATAAATTTTTAAAAAAAAAATTATATTTTGAACGATTTTTTTTGCAATGTTTCTACATTGTAATCTTAATAGATTTACAAATATTATGCTACTATAAAACTAATTGTGTTATATAATTGTGAGATATGGTGTTACAATCAATAGATTCGTATACTTTTTATATTTTGTCTATTTCATACTTTGAATTAAAGTATATTCCAGCTGAATTTACACTGAAAATAAATTTATTTCATTCATATGTTACTCGATTCTCAATATTTTTGTTTCTAAATATTTTAACTATGGAAATAAGGGAAATAATGGGAATGAGTCAGGCGTAAGTTGATTAACTCGACATTGAATGTTTCAGAGCCGAAGAAAAGGATCGAAGACAGGAAACCTGAGGATGATTCGGACGCGCCTATGTCGGAGGTTATGCCACGCAATTTTTCTGTCGAGGAATCTAGCAATTCATGGGCATTTTACGTTGTTGTGCCCATAATTTTGTTGCTGGCAGCATTTACTGTCATATTTGTATTATATAAATTTACAAGGTAAGTGATACATTTTCGTTTTTCCACCACTTTTTCATACTGCTTATGTACTATATTTAAAAAAAAAATCACTCCAATAATTTTTGGCACAATATTTTAAATGTGGCGTAATATTCAATTGTGTAAAATTACGTCATTTGGTATGAGTGATTGCACTCTTGATTTGTTGAGCTAAAACTCTCAATTGAGCCAAACTGCAGAGCGATGTTTATCAAATTACAAGTCAGACTTAATTAAAATGAACTTTTTCATCAGACACCAACGACCGAACGCATGTTATATTATAATTTGACCATGAGAGAGAAATTCAAATAATGTAGTGTGATGTAGATTGCTTGAAGGTCTATTGAGTATATTTTTAGAGGCACACATTATCGAATTTTATTGATATTCTAGCTGTTTGGGGCGCGCATGTGTTCACCTCTATTGCTCTAAAGAATCCACTGAAATAAAAAAAGTAAATTGTGTTTCTACAGGGTGGCCCAGACCTACCGTACCAGACCTTTTTTTCGGTTAATTTGGGTCGCACGAAGTCCAGGACCGCGGGGATGTATAGAGAATCGACCCCAAGAAATCCGAATTTCATTGTCCCAGAGCCCCCCTGGAGCCTCTTGGGGCTGGGGGGGAGGGGTAAAAGGGGGGTCCGTACTTCAAATGTCAGGGTCTATGTCAAAATTTTGAAATTATCTCATTGGAATCAGATCGTACGGACATTTTTAACTTATGTCGACACCAATAAATCCAAAATCGGCCCATCCGTGTCCAAAATACCGACCCCTAAAGGTGGGGGACAGAGCCCCCTTTCAAAAAAATTTAAATTCGTTAAATTGACGTGGAGACTCGGAAAAAATGAGCATTCGTGGGTAATCGACCCCAAGGAATCCAAATTTGAGGGTCCCGTTGTCCTCAGAGACTTTCCTGATGGGGCACAAGGGTAACCTCCACACCGGTTAAATTTAAAAGTTCAGAGTCCCCTTGTGCCCCACCAGGAAAGTCTCTGAGGACAACGGGACCCTCAAATTTGGATTCCTTGGGGTCGGTTACCCATGTATGCTCATTTTTTCCGAGTCTCCACGTCAATTTATTAACGCATTTGAATTTTTTTGAAAGGGGGCTCCGTCCCCCACCTATAGGGGTCGGTATTTTGGACACGGATGGGCCGATTTTGGATTTCTTGTTGTCGATATAAGTTAAAAATTTCCGTACGTTCTGATTCCAATAAGATAATTTCAAAATTTTGACATAGACCCTGACTTTTGAAGTACGGACCCCCCTTTTACCCCCCAAGAGGCTCCAGGGGGGCTCTGGGGCCGTGAAATTCGGATTCCTTGGGGTCGATTCCCTATTCATCCCCGCGGTCCTGGACTTCGTGCGACCCAAATTAACCGAAAAAAAGGCCTGGTACGGTAGGTCTGGGCCACCCTGTATAATGCTTCGGTTCTGAGTTTTAAAACGAAAAAATTACTGATTGGGCTAGACTTGTGAGGGAATATTGATACATTATGATATTTTTTCACGATTCTGTCAATTATTATTTATGGTGGTTTCAGTGTATGTGATAGGTTTGGACGCACAAGACAGAATAATATTTTCACATTCATGAATCCGAACTACAAATCGACCTCTTCATCCTCCCTTGGAGGCCGCTCAATCGATAGGAAACCAATGATTCAAGGAAAAGTTCACTACGATAAAGCTATGGTAAGTAATATTTCAAAGTATGCTGTAGAGATTACCTTAATGGACCGCGTTAAGCAGAAAGGAGTCACGCCACATCGCCCACATCAGCTGTTGCCGCACTATATTGGGCAATTAATTATTTTACATGAAAACGGTTGTGTGGTTGTGTGTATTTTTGTGCAAATTTCGGTAAATTTTCTGCATTGTACAATACAAATTCCTTAAAATTTTCAAAAGAATCCGCACAAACGCTCTCTTGTGAAAGGTTACACTGCCCCGTTAAGTTTGCCAATGGCTGATGTGGCTTGGTTCCTTTCTGCTTGACGCGATCCAAATGGTTAATCTTATTCTCACCGGCCGTAAATTGGAACCTTATTTTTTCAGATGAATACTTCATATTTCGACGGTGTAAGTCGGCAATCACATAACTCGGTTTGCGACGTCGCAGACTTCCCGTCATACTTTATTTTTTAAAGGGAAAACTACTCAACGGCAACTCTTTAAAACTGCCGTGATTTTTCTTCTCTGTGTGAAGAAAATTCTGCAAAAACTTCAAGGAATGATGTCAATTTGTTCTCCTACAAAAAATAACATAGAGGCGGAGATTTTCAGACACTGCAAACGAGTTATGTGATTGCCGATTTACACCGTCGATTTGGTTAATATTAACAGTGATAGCTTCTCATAGTAAAGATGGGTCAAGTAAGTTGAATTGTGGATCGAGATAATGACACATGTATAGCTGAAAAACATATGAAAAAAGATATGAAAAACACATGAAAACACTGTTGAGTCGCCTTTCGTCTTTATCACAGGAAGATGTAAGATGTGCATAACCTCAAACTTGCTTACTCGCACAGTCGACCTACTTCCTTACAATAGAGAAGAAAAACTCAGAGGAGATTCAGAGAAAAATTTTTATCAGAAGTGTCACATAAGTTACTTACAACTATAGTTGTAACTATAACAACAATATAGTTGTAACTGTATTAACGAAGTTCTCTATAGAGAACTACGTCAAGTAATCTAAGCAGCATTGGAAGTCTTATACGCCCTTAACCAGAAAACGCCTCAATTACACTAAATCAACAAGTAACCACACGACTTGACTCATTTTAGAAACAACATATTATATCGATGGTGAAAGTGCAGAAGTGCGTATCTCGATTTTTGACAGTTTTGAGTTAACTGCATAAATGTGCAGTTGAAGATGTCGTCTATCAGCCAGCAAGAGATTATAATCGAAAAAAATCGGGAAGTCACCTAAAACCGTAGAATATTTTTGGCGTATCTCGGGCTTAAGTGCAGGAATGCGTATCTCGTGCAGGCCTGTTCATTTTTCGGCGTGCCTTACGCACAACCAATCACAACGCGCGCTCCTCAGCAGCGTTTCCCGCCGACACCGCACATCAGCTGTTCTGTGTTTGTTTTCAATGGTTTTCATTTATCTATCTAAAAGAAAAGTTGATGTGGATAAATGTGGATAATCAGGCAGTGCAGCATGCATAATATCAGTGAATGCTGGTGATAGGCCGATAGACGAGGGAAGGGGGGGATTAGGTACTGTTACTTGTCATTAATGTTGCATACGCTTGTAATTGAAGGCGGATTATCACTCGAAGGCCCTCCAGTATCATTTTTTCATAGGTATCTACTACCTACTAGCAGCGCGCGGCGTTCATGTCCATTTTTACTCTCTGGGCCAATGCAATCATGAACTGATTGAACTGACGGTTTATCACAACGGTCAGTTTTATTAGAGTCAATCCGGTCAAACAATGCTTCATTTAGTGTATTGGATCGACTAAAGCTTCTAAATAAGTTTTAAGGTTGAATCAATTCTATTTTCGATCTTAATGATAAAGAGTAACTTCAAAACGCTAACTGCAGAAATGCGTATCTCGTAATCCAATGTCAGTTTCCAATCATACAATGCTTGATCCGGCCGTATGAGGTCAAACTAAAGCTTCTGATAAAGAATTGTAAGCATGAAACCCTTCTTTCAGTTTTTAAATGATCGAAATCCGCCAACAATAGGTTTAAAACACTAATTGCAGAAATGCGTATCTCGTGATAAAGTGTCAATTCCTAGTGCCGAAAATGCGAATCTCGGCATTTCGGCCGTATTTTCTAACAGCGCGAGAAATTATTCAAAATATTGATGAAGTCTGAAAAAGCATCTTACTCTTGCTATCCTCAAGAATTATTACCCTTCTACTGACAATAAAGAGGAATGTAGACAGTTTTTTTACTCTCCTGAAAAATCGTGTTTTCCCAGATACGCACTTCTGATGCACTTTCACCATCGATATGTTATTTCTTTACGCAGGTAGGTGTTTTTATAGGTGCGCCAGAAAAAGCCTTTTAAAAAATTTAACTCAATTCTCATGTAAGACCAACTTAGTTGACCTTGATCCTCAGTTAATTTTCACGATTAAAAAAATTAAAACGAACTAAGACTGCCATTTTCAGCACGTGGGAACTTTGCAAAGCTCTTATCCTATCAATATTTTGGCTTAAAGATTATCTCATCTTAAATATTATCTTATCCCTCTTATCCTATCCTAACTCTTTTATCTTATCGTAGCTCTCTTATCTTATCATATCTCTCTTATCTTATCTCTTTTATCTTATCTTAGCTCTCCTATCTTATCTTATGTTCTTTTGAATAGGATCAGGTCTACCAAGAGGAAGAGAGCCGGGAGCAGTGCGTTTTGCGGGCGAACCGATCGCGGGGGAGTAGCAGACATCAGGAGCTCATCGAACTCCCGTCGACTTTTTATCGAGCTCCACCGAGACCGCCCAAACGCGCCGAACTCTACGCCTGACCCGACGATGACCCTCAGACTTGTTAAAACTGCTCACTTTAACTTTAAGTTTTTTCATTTTAAACATTACTATTTTTTATAGATTTTTTCTACAAGACTAGATTATTGTGTCGTTTAGCATCGGGTTTAGTCTCGATTCTAGTTAGTACCTTGACGCAATGCTGCCAGGCTAAGAAAAAGCGCCGTGCGAACATTCGAGAGCATTCCTCCAAATTTTCTCCGATAGAATGTTTATTTTGAAAGGGAGTTATGCATATATTTCTTTAAAATTTTCAGATATTTAAGATTAAACTGCGAACAATATTGTCCAAAAAATTGGAATAAACATATTATGCATAGCTATTCCAATTGATGATTTTATCAAAGGAACAACTTGGCAATGTCTGATGGCTATTACGGAGTTTCTCCTTAGCACGGCAGTATAGGCATCTTGAGTCGAATTTACGCAGGTGGATTTGGCTCACATTTTGGAACCTGGGAGGAGCAGGGTTGTAGCCCCAAAAGAAATTAATTTTAAGACTTGATTATTGTTGAATCCTGTGTCACCTTGGTTTTATTTGACTGAGGTTTTTCCCCTGTGCGCAACACGGAAATCAGTAGCTGGGGCTCAATGTGACAGTGAGTTTCGAACACAGTCTGAGACTGAATAAGAGACCTTAAACCCAAGAAATTATTTTAGAGTAATGCTAAGACTGTGAAATTGTTTTTATTTCACTTGAAAATGATTTTGCATACCTCAGATATTTTCCTAAGAAATAGTGACATCGAAATTTGACCCCTTTTGTCATTCTATTTTTGAATTTTTACCCCTTTTAAGGCTGATTAACGCAATCACTAAATTTGAGTAACACGCCGACAAAGTTTGGTGTAAAAATTGGTTAAAAAATTCGAATAATATGAGGTAAAAGAAAGCCATAATTGCAATGTTTACATGAGTCCTGATAATAGTGCGTTCTTATCTCATGGAGAGGTCCTTGAAGACTCGCACTGTGAAAAATACAATTTTTCTGATAATTATTCCTGGATCTAGGTAATTAGGCATTTTTTGTAACACGAATAGTTTCATTGATTGAGGGCTGGGCGTTCATAAAATTTAAAAAAAAAAAAAAAACAAACAAAAAAACAAACAAAAAACAAACAAAAAACACTCACTGAAAATTGTAGGTTACGAATAATTGCTAGGAATCGGATGATTTGACCAATTTTTTTCCATAGCAGTATTTTCAAGTTCTCACTTATGATGCATTCAGTATGTTTTACGTAACTTGGCTTTGTTACCAATTAGATGTAACGTTGAATGTCTCAGAAATGAGCTATACTTTTTGAGCGGTTGGCTTCATTCATGTATTTATAAATATTTTCAGGGGTGAAAATTAGAGAAAATAACATTTTTTCCCATGAGTGTATAAATAAAAGGATTTCCATGGCCTTATATTTATTGTAAAATAGCTGCAAAGTTGACACAATACCAATGGAGGTTATCGAGGTTCCAGAGATTAAGTAAAATTATTGTAATCCCGTAAAAAATACGCTTAATGTTGAGTTACTTTACGGGAACTTACGACACGAACATACTTTTAATCTCAAGTTTGAGCTCTGAATGACGAATTTTACTTAAATAGAGGGATATCCAACGTTTTTCATTAGAACATTTAACTCATTTTCCCACTATAATCTTCATGCAAGGCATTGAATCTGCTGGCTTTTAATTTTTCCTACTAAATTCGTCGCTCGAAAACAAAGAACAAACATGACATAGGTGTGTTCAAAGAGGTTTCACAACCAAGACTAAATTGATGTTATTGTTTTGATTTGCTCAATTTTACCTAATCATTACTTTTCTATTAGGTTTTTGTTTTTTAATAGTTCGTTGAGAGAATTGCGTTGATTTTCACTTTGCATCGTATAAGTGTGGCACTATCCGTTTTTTCATTGAGGTCTTCTTGCTAAATATCGTTATCGGCGCGCGTTGACAGATAAAAATTGATAATTTGTTACTGACCTATGTAATTACTTGACTTATTTATCTTTAAAGTACTTTCTAGGGACTCGTTGCTGAATTTGCATACCATAGGAATAAAAAATCTCTGACCTGTAAAAATTCTTCCTAACAACTTGATATGATTCTGACGCACATTTGGCTGTGAAGGCTTTCCTTTCAGTGCAAGTTTATCAAAGTACATATGTACATATTTTTTATGATACGTTTTTCCTGATAACTAATCCATTGACATCAGTAGATGTAATTTTGCATTTATTTTCGATAATTTTTTTGTCATTAAAATTTAAAAGAATTTATTTATTTTTCAAATGATTTGATGATAAATTAATTTATTTTGTTAAAGTTTAGATTTTGCCAGTGGCTACCATTACAAGCTTGAGGGGAAAAGAGGCAAATTTTGACAAAAAACAAGGGTCATCGTGCACCTTAAAAGTTGACCAGCTCCAATAAGTTTGGAAGTTGACATATTCAATTGGGAATGTTAAGGTAGTCGACTTGGGAAACTGTGCCCCTCCTTGATTCCTATACCTACGGCAAGACCTTTGGTACTATCTGAGATGGTGAAAATATTGATTTTGAAAATGATACGGCACATTTGAAAACTAGTTTCACTCAAAGCTAAAAACATATGTATTTATACACTTAAAGTTACTATTTTATACGCCTTTGATAATGTAAAATGTCCACTCATTCATTATACAAGCTTATCATTTTCAGTATTGAAGATTTTCTTCGCTCGGTCGTTTTTAAATTTCTCGAAATTTTCGAGAAACAATGTTCGAAAAATTTATGACAAAAATATATATGGAAGTTTTGAAATTTTATGAACCATCCCCGTTAAAGTTAACATTTTATTTTCGTTGTGATTTAGATTTTTCACCCATGCATTTCAATCCCTTGCAGATACTACCTCCAGTAAATCTCAAAAGCATGTTTATATACAACCTGCCAAGCATAATTGGACTGAGTTAAGCAGAAAGGAACCAACCCACATTTTGGACAAAATTGAGTTATGAGTGGTTTTGAACTCAACCACTGCTCTACTATCTATCGCCAAAAATTCAAAGTTTTTGTTGGAGCAAATTTTGCAGAAATTGAACTTGAAGTTTATCTTTTACATTGAGTCTTATGCGGGAGCCAAACTTTAAACCTTTTTTTCTCGGTTCGATCCCGATGTGGCTTGGTTCCTTTCTGTTTAACTCCGTCCAATTATCCTCTACTTTATAGAAATGAATCACAAAAATCAACCCATTGTTGTATATGTTACACGAATGGGGTCACAGACGTATTTCAAATATGCATTTCCGTTTACCAAAAATTTTCAAAGAACAAGTGTTGAGTGAATAAGTCTGATGATGTAAGAGAAATTTTTGTCTTAAAACTTTTTATTTCTTGAAACAAGGTAATTCCTTATAAAGATGGGGATGCCAACTTCTTTGCATGAGAGAAAAGTTAATCCTAGTCACGAAGATAATTTAAACTATAGGAACAGGGTTTATTATGCATTTCTTTTCCTGATGGCATGACTATATATTGCGATAGTAATGATGACTGAGGATCAATTGAAAGGGCGATTGCAATTTTATGGAAATTCATTTTTTATAAGTGACAAACCAAGAAGATGGTGCTATTTTTCTTTTAGTAAATTTAAACGGGCCCTTTTTTACTATTATCTGAAAGTTCGCTTTTAATCAGGTAATGTAAACTTTGGTTCTCAAAACCATTCTGCCATGCTAACGCAGAACACCGTATAAATATTCTAGGGTTGCCAAATTTCCTTCGATAAAATGTTTATTTTTGAGGCAAATTATTAATGTTTTTCCTTGAAATGTTCAGAAAAATATTCATATATTTACCAGGAAATTCGTGTTTTATCAAAGGATATTTGGCAACGCCTAAAGGTTCATGCGGCGTTTTTCCTGAGCACGACAGCATTATATACATTAATTTACTCACTCGTGAGTTTTTCTTCCTCATTTCATCAGAAATAAAAGAAAATGAATAACATTCTGATGGCTGAAAATCGACCACTTCGAAAGTACTCCCGATCCCAAGTTTCTTGGAAAAACGATTGTAAAGTTAACAATTATTTTACTATCAAATGTGATATATTCGTAATATTTAAAATTAGACAAAGTGGATTATGTTGAATTCTATGTTTAAATGTCCATTAATATCTTCTATTTAATTATAAAAACCAACAAAAAAGAAAGGGTGTTTTCATTTATCCGATAGGTTTTCTTCAGCTGCAGCCCTGCACAAATACATGTTCATTTGTTTCTTAATTTTGTTCTATACTCCTTTCCCTCGTCGAGTTATTATGAATCCTGCAGTTATGAATATGTTATTTCAAAAAAATACCAAACTGAGAGAAAATGCAAAAAAACGACAAAATGATGCAATAATTTAAGACATATACATACTGCTTTTCGATTATTTACAGACATTTTTCATTTATATTTACAAACATTTTCCATTTATATTTACAAATATTTTCAATTTATTTTTTCAAACCATCTTCAAAAGGCAAACTGGCAAAGGAACGCACCTGTGTTTTGATTTCTGTCTCAAAAATATAAGAAACTCAAAAGTTCAAAGATAGAGTCTTTCAAGAATAATTTAAATTAGTAAATGTGAGCCCTACATGGAGGTTAAAAGAAATGGGGTTTACAAAAATGCATTTGACCCTAAAAACTATTTTATTTATAGCACATTTTTTTTTTTTAAACTGCGCGACCTCTTTATGGACGAGATGACTAAATATTTGCAAGACTGTTTAGTAACTGCAACATAACTCATTGATTTCCGGGCTTCCACATTTCCCGCATGTCAGAGTATCCATTTATTAACTTGCACTTTTTTTTCAAGATGTTATTTAGAAACCCATGACCCATGACTGTAGGTGGGGAACAAGGCTTCCCGGGGCTCTCGAGTTTTGGGACTGTATAAGTCTCAATTCAAATGTAAGATGATCTCAGGAACCAATAAGTCCGAACGCGTTCATATCTGTGCGTACGTGCCACAAACTACATCCCACCTAATTTCATCTTGCCCGGTTCCCTGCCGCTCGAAGGTTGGCGGTTGCCTTTATCCAGCACCTCCGCATTCTTCACTGGAAATATCGGATGCCTGAAAAAAGTAAAACGCTATGCTTGCATTCACGTTCTTTGAAATCGACGCACGACCCACGACGTAATGTTTGCCCTTATAACATCACTAGGATTCAAATTTTGAAAACAAATTCTAAGGCCCCTCTACAGCATATATACGAGAACGCTCGGATTGCCGATTAGTTTATCAAGAATCCTGCGTTTTAGTGCATTTTCTTTAAAAAATAAGAAGAAAAAAACGAATCAAATTTCAAAGTTTCAGGTGCTTGCGCGCATAATTTTGAAATATATACCTGAAAATTACGCTGAATGTATGTTTTTATAGATGAAAAGAAGGCAATAATTGTGATACCCACACGAAACCCACCCTTAAAATTATTTCAAAATATTTCTCGATCATAATTATAATGCATCCGAATTTCTCAAACGCTACAGTAGAAAGCGAATTACCGAGTTTTTTTTTATTTTTTAATATTGAAACGATACATCTAGAAATGAACCGATCCAGCCTTAAACATTTTTTTTAGAATGCTCTGTCGAGTATCTTGTGACCAAAACACATCGAAAAGAAAAAAAAACTGATAGGCCCTCCAAAAAAGTAGCCACCAGAAAGACCGACCACAAAATATTGTAAAGGATTAATCATTTCCTCTAACCGAAGCGAAAGCACGCCAGCCACTACGACAATATGCCCTAAAAATTTCAAATATATCTAAACATTCAAGAAGGTTGTAAGTCTCAAAACTCATGAGCCCTGGCATCCATCGTAAACAACGCCCGGTTGGCTCATGGTTTTTTTAACTTCTGCTCTTTCCGCATGTCACGACTCAAATGTCTACTCATAGGGACTGCGCCGCGCCATGATACGAAAATGAATGGTGGTAAGGCAACATTGCAGCGTTGCCAAAATTCGTAGAGGCCGAGCTACATACAAAGGAAAGAACCAAGGAACGAAGGAAAAAAGTTGTATTACTTCCGTGAATTTTAACTAATGTTGCTTTCCTCGTAATAAATCAAATTTTTCCTCTAAATAACTTACATTGTTTTAGTATGTACCAACATTTTGTGACATGCTAGAGAGCTGTAATTTGTTTTAAATGAATACATAGTACATATGCTCACGTATGAATTTTTCGTTTAATGTGCAAACAGTAAGCACTTTGATATAAGTAGGCATTCGCGCAATAAATGTGATTTTCCTTCTTCTTTTTTACGCATAGTTATGAACAAAACCGATTTTCTACTAGGCATGAACCTCGCAGAGCACCCAAAATTGGATACAAATAGAGATAAGCGAAAAAGTCGCTTCTGTATTAAGAAATTTGAAGAAGAAGAAAATAATTTATACAATAATTTGGAGTACCTGACACATGTTAACTGGGACTACATACAAACTAGGAAGAGGCAAGAGGTGTGAAAAGGCCCGAAGATGGCAAGCTTTTTCAAACTCTCCTTAAGGATCCATGAAATTCCAAAGCCTCCTGCATGTATTTAATGCAGGCTCATCTCATGCACTTTTGTTGCACCGATCTACCTGCAAACATGTTGGAGGGAAAACATTTTGTGAGCCCCCGGCCACCGTCTTGGCATATGAGGTTTTCGACTTACACTAAGACTTGTCGTATAGAAGTTTCCCAAACCCATAATCAATCAGAGAATCTTGAGATCACACACATCACACATGACCCCTTTTTTTATGTAATTTGCAAATAGTGAAAATATGTATCAAGTTACGAGACCTAGATGGTCTTTTTAAATTTACACCATTGAAAAGATAGCAGAGCGGGTTCTCTAAAAATATTTTGTCGTTAAACACACTTGATAAAATTTAAACAAAATTCATTCAAAAAAAAAAAAAAAAAAAAAAAAAAAAAAAGAACAAACTCTTCTCAAAACCGCAAATGTAAAGAGATTCCGTGTCCTTGTTTCAAGCGTTCGGGGAAAAACGGCAACCGGTGGCGCAAAACGCCGGCCGTTGAGACAGAAATGAGCGGAAGACAAAGATGAAGCCTCTTCAGGTAATAGCTTTATCACAAAACTGTAGCTCGGAACAGAATTATTCTATTTCTTATTTCGTACGCTGTGTTTTATTTTCCTATCATATTTTCCACCCCTTCCTCACGTGTGGATCTCGTCATCCAATTTTCTACGTGTTCCCCGCTCCTGCTTCGGGGTTGTTGCTAGCT